CTATACTGAGTTCTACTGTCAACTTCGCTTCGCACTGAGCGGCAGCCATTTTTAAATTGTCATGGAGTATGTTTTGTGATCTTTCTCAGCAGTCTATGTATCCATGGTATCAAGAACTTTGTCAGGAAGTAGTTCTGTATCAAAATCACTCAGCAAACGCTCTTGGTCTTGTTGGAAAATTTCGTCCTCAGACAGTGGAGAGTTAAACAAAAATTGTAGCAAACATCATTTACAAGGTCTCTAGCAAAGAATTAGCTAATGTAACCCTAAGTGTGACATTGCAAGGAAAAAATAAAAATATTCATAAGCCTACAAATTTTGTTTGAAGTATAACTGTAAATGGTGTCTTTCTATGTGTAACAAATAAAATCATTTTGAAACTTACTTCAGTTAAGAACAAAGAGTTCTTAAAGAATTCTCAAAAGTTCTTAAAGAGTTCTCAAAGAATAAATGAATTAAGAACATGTAACATTGACACTATTCCCAAACTGAGATTGATGGTTATTTGACCTGTTTAAAGATTAGTATTAGGTTTGTTTATCTCAAAACATTGTCCATCATCTCGACTTAGAAAATTGCATTTTACAAATTCATCATGTATATTTCAGAAATTCTATGAAAACATCTTTCCTCTTATTGTTCTGTCATTGTTACATGCAAATATTAAGAGATTAATATAATCAGAATTATGTTCTTGGTAAACAAGAAAAGGAAAAGTCATTTTTTCATTGTGTTACTGCCGTATAAAGAAAATTCTATCATTTTTTTTGCAACCTTCTCATTTCAGTAATAAAGTAGTTACACATATGTTGCATGTAACATGTACACAAAAAATATGAATCATAAAGCATGGCAGAAATGCTATTAAAACATATAAAAAGCCCCCCCCCCCCCCATCTCTATGTAAATTATAATTTAAAATATATATACTCCCACATATCTCAAATATAATATCGTTTAAGTAGTCGCATGTAACATTGACACCAAAAAACGTGCAACTATTTATTTTCGGGTCAAGGATACGTACGGAAATCGTTCCCACCAAAAAATCGCTATGGAGACGTCAAACCTGTTTCAAATACCAGATCTACTGTTTTTTTTGTTGTTGAAAAATACAAAGAAAAAATCAAACAACATTATTAAAGATCATATTTTACTCCGAATGTGTGCGTAACACTTCGTTACGTGATCAAAATTACCTGATTCCGTGGTCTCCTCGAGTTCCTCTACACCAATAACCACCTTTTTGGAAAACTGCATAGTCACGTGTTGACGTTACTGGGAGCGGGTCGAAATATCGCAAAAAACATTATTGTTACGCGATCTGTTACAGAAATACAACTGTTCCAAAGAGAGGGAGTATTTTAGGGTAGTTTGGACACGAAAATTAATTATATTTTATTACCTGATATATTTTCCGAACTCCAGTTGATTGATGAAAATTACGACAATCATATCGTACCTTGTGTTGACACTTCGTAAATTTGCAAATGCCATGTCGATGATGCGTTTCCAAACAAATTTACTGAGGGAAACGTGCACGTAACGTTTGTTGACGCAGAAGTTACCTACATTGGTTTATTTTCAATCCTATTTTTTTTGCAACATTAATCAAATCCTGTACAAAACAAGCGTTTTTATCGATAGACCGATCATTTTGAAGTTGATTAACAGCTTTTACAGCACCACAATTCTTCATGCATTTAACAAATACGACTCGGAGTTTCTGCAGAAATGTCACACTTTTTGCCTATAATTTATCCACTGGCGGCGTACAACTTGTGTTGCTTTCTTGTTATTTAATCAATTAGATCAATTTGTTTTTTCATATGACGATAAAAATAAACCAACTTTAATATTTAAGCAATGTTTATTCTCCATACTTGCATGATTTTGTCTGTTTTTTATTGGATAAACTACTTTGACACTAAAATTTCATTAGCGAAATCTTGCCCATATATCAAAGCATGAAAAACTAATCGGTTAAAAATTACCATAAAGGCATATTTTTTATTTATCTAATAATTATTATATGATTCATCTTTATCATTTTTTATCCTGCAAATCTCGAGCAAATTTGATAGCTTTTATTTAAAGTTTATCATCAAACATATATCAGGGTTCTCTCCCTTCCAAAATGTCTTAAGGATGTATTCATACGTCCAGATCAATGTTAATCTGGACAAATGCATAGACAAAGGAGACAGGCTACGTGTATTTATTGAGAACTGTTTGAATCACGGTTATGATTGAATATTGGATGAAGATTATGAAAAATAGTTTAGTCTCGCTTTCAGATTGGACATAAAGAATGGCGCAGGTAACTTTACATACATCGTGCGCTGTCAAAGTTTCATGAATATCAATGTTTCTCGCACGGATCTCCTCTAAGGTACGGCACTAATCCTAAATGGTCACGTGATAGATCCTTCATCTGACTCTAGGTCGATAAAATGATTACAATATATGAACAAAAGACTGATGAACCGTGGAAAGGTACAAGGAGTGTATTGCTAAAGGTTCCAGAATAGTCAGCGTCTTCTGCTAGGAAAATCAATATCACGCTGCTTAGTGAGTAGCTATCCCAGCGAGTTGTCTTGTAAATGAAAATCGAGGCAAGCGACTGTACAGCGATAGGTGGACGTGTCTTTTATCTAAAGTTCTCTAGGAATTCGAGAATTCTAACGGTTCATTTCCTTTTTGACGAAGTTGCTGAAGCGTATTGTACATCACAATTATACTGATATAGCGCCGTTAACTTTCTTGGGAGTTTTTTTAATAGAATATAGTCGTGCAATTTATGCAATTCAGCAGTGGTTCTGAAATCAAAGTTGATCAAAATTTCTTCTACGTTCTTCAGAGTAGAACAGCGATACCATAAACCTAATGAGTTTTGAGCAACTAGCCGAACAAGGATGACACATTACTAGTGCGGATTCTTATGAAGAATGGGATTCAGTCCTTATCTGAAATTCACAAGTATCTGTATTTTAATATTCGAGTGTTGAAGAAGAAGACACTTACTCTCGCCTTTGCTCTCTGCACCCCTGGAACATCTCATGGCACAAGTTGACGTTTTCATGTGGGCCACCTTGTGGACAAGTCGTAAAAACTAGTGTGATCTTCTGATGTACACTGAACGAATCACGAATACTGAATAAAGACAGTGTCAATACATGCATACCATCAAAACTGTCATCCTATACTGATAATTCTTATAAAGTTATTTCCAGCGGGAAATAATCAACGTTATGCTCACAAATATAATTTCTCTATGAAAATTACAGTTAAGTCTAAAAAAATCCTCACAAGAAAGAAATGTGAGACTCATTTTGGTAATTAAAGCACCTTAAGATGCTTCCATTCATGAAGAGTATTTGATTCTACCATATCTGGGTGTTGAGACTTTGTTTCATGTGACCTAAAAATGAGACCGATTTCAATAAACATTTAGCTACAAGAGGTTGGCTTTTTAAATAACATCAGGGCCATAGATGACAGTCTGGTTCTTAAACTTAGAATTTCCATTTCTTTCCATGAAATGTAATCAGTACTGGATAGAATACTTAGTACCGAGAGAGTCGAATTATCTTGATGTGGCAGAAACATGCCATATTAAGCTGAAGTCAAAGATTAATACAATTTGTAAAACCAAGAGGTTTCTGAAACACACCAGCTCCTCACATTATAATTGTAACCCTGAGCAAAACGTCACAAAAATGGCAGTAGTAGTTATCCTTCCCTAAGTGGCGATACAGCTCGTCATTATCCATATAGCGTTCATCACAGAGGTGACACAATAGGTGACCCTTGTAGGATGAATCATCCTTGTCTGCAATAATAACAAAAGTACGTGAAATCCCCAGTCAAGCCATCGGGATATTAGTCGCATGTCGTAAAGATATGTACTGGATCGTGAACTAATCCAATTTAGATAAGAGGTCCATGGGCCTTGATGATCATCTGACTGTAGAGACCTATTAACGATACGTGGCAGATTTGACCATGGTCGACAACTAGTTTTGAGGGAAATTCACTTCAGCTAAGTAGTAGTTGAGCATCTGACTAAGAGACCTGGAGGTCGCGGGTTCGATCCCAGGTGGAAGCACACTATTCTCTTTCCTGATCATACTAAATAGCAGCAGTGGTATTAAATGATAGTTATACTAGCACTAAATAAAACACAAGACAGCCTTTCCTTCATTTTTCAACATTCCCAATCATTTTCAGTTTAATGGCACCAATGGAACTTTAGAAGTGTAAAATATGTTTTCAAGATGGCGGCCACATTGGATTTCGGACTGATGACCTATACGTAAAAAACTTTGCAGTCTTGTATTTTTTTCATATCGTTCAACTGTCAATGATTGGCACCTGAAGTGTGGACACATTTAAGGTGAGTTTGGAGATGTATCACCCTATAATTCAAGCAGTTTCGTTGACTTCCCAAATTTTTACGGCGTTAAATGAACAAAACCCATTTATGTATGTTCTCAAACATGCTATCATACATACAAAAGACACAAGTGAACAAAGCATTACCATGCAAATTTTGAGTTAGCTATCACACGTTAGGTAACAGAATGAGCTGTTTATACGGATATTTCATCTAAGTAGAACTTGTCAGCGATTGAAATGGTGAATTTGGAAGTTGAAAATTGGCGGGATCAAATATGAACGTATTGATAAGTAGGAGCACATTGCCTCCATTAATGAATATTTAATGAAATATCATAAAAAATTATTCATTAAATTCTGTAACTTTTTAATTTTTCATTCCGATATCATTTTAAACAAACTCTTCACATCATTCGGATGGCTCTAAAAGGAAATGTTAGAAAGTCCATTCTGATCCTTTCCAATTCCACACAGCTACAGAGGTCTAGAACTTAAAACCTATAGCCAGAGCTTTCACAATGAAAATCAACGACTGTCTTCATAATACTACGTAATTCAGAGATAGCACCAAAGTTTCACAACACAGAAAAACATTCCACATATTCAAATATAAATAATAAATTTTATTTCCTTTTCAAATTCCAAAACAGCAATTAAATTCCATGGAATAATGATAGTACTGATTACAAGTAGACGTTTCATTGGCAACCAACTCTTATCACTATAGAATACCTTAGTTATAAGCAAATGATAGCATGATCCATTTCGGGGAACTGTTTTTGAATACCCAACAATTAGATTTATAGAACTTGTACATAAATTGTGAATATACAATGTACAATCTGAGTCCACTATATCCGAACTAGAAAGTTTGAATTATATTAACCATAGTTTGGCTTTAATTAGAAATTCTCTAAAATAAGATATCAATTAACTTGTGCATATTTGCTATAAGACATAAAGCATATACAAAGTCTACAATTAATCTTGTATTTCAACTTAAGTTTATTACAGATTGAAAAATCAAAAACAGGTCAATACTAAAAACATCACAGCTAGAGACTGTAAGATGAAGTGATAGAGAATACATTGAAAAAACACTTAGAATTAATTGAAACAAAATTCATACTTTCTTTGTACTGTTTAAAAAATATGTTTCGTGTAATCTCCATTAAATTAAAAGGACATAGGACAAAAATATTTGGGCATTTAATACTTGGTCCTATTCCAGAGTCAGTGATTGTTGCTGGATGTAAATATCTTTAACGTGTTTTAGTTTTAGTTACAGAATAAACTGTAAATCAAAACACAATCAAGATCTCGACTTTAACTTCAGAAACAAGGCAGTGACTATATGCTCCCCTGAGCATAAATATACTTTTAATTAAAACAAGAGAAAAATTGATAAGTTTCTATGTACCAGACCAAAAAATGACACCTTTTTCATAAGTAGGGAAGCTTTGATATAGCTCAGAATTGATAAACTTAACCTAAGTGCATTCCAGTTTCTAATAGGAAAAAGACATATCTTTACATACAGATGGAAAGACAGGTCAGTCAAGGGCCTTAACTCCAAGAACTCTTATCACTTATCAAATGTCAGATCAACAATTTGTATAACGTAAGTATTTCATGCATGTATGAATTCACGTATTTTATACACAATGTATTGTCATTCATGACTGGAAAGCGTATAAGAAATATATTTATCAAAGATGATGTAAATCTCGACCATTACAATAAATTATTTTTGAATCTCGACACCTGACAATGACAAAATCCTGGAAATAATTTCGAAAAATCTTTCCCTAATTACATTAAGATATTTTGTAACACAGGTAAAGGATCTGGTATCAATATATTATCACATAATTTAAAATAGATACAGTCTCTGAAGCAGCAGAAGTACAAATAAATAAATGATTTTAACAAAAGCCTTAAAGGGCACAAAAATGGCATTAACCTTGCATGCATGCCCTGATACAACCTCTCCTTATTTCACAAGAAGTCCGACTCATGTGACCTTCCGTAGTCATCATATCCGAAAACATCTCTTTATTTACAAGGCTAAAAACCATAAGGTAATTCAAACTCAACAACTAAAACTTGGATGCAAGCATAATAATCAAATGAAAGTCTTCAAGTAGTTTCCTAGAATCACTTTCACAGCTTTTCAATGAAAAGACGTGATTCCTAATGCTGTTCACTTTTACTTTGCCCTTACCCATTCTTTGAGGCCAGGACCTACTGGCCTGGCAGAAGTGTCCGAGTACAGGGAAGGAAAGTCTGAACTGGCATCATGCATAGATGTATGATGGTTGTAGTCTTTTTGGAGTAGTACCTGTCTACATGTAGGACATACAGAAAAAGAGGAGGGTACTTCCCATCCCCCCTTCCTCCCTTGTCCTCCCTTGTGTGACAGGCCATGTTTATCACGCTGCTTTATGGACCCCATACTACTGTACATTGACAAAAGCTCTTGCTGTTTGTTGATGTCAGGAAGAAGAGCAAGAAGTTCAGGAAATATTTCTGTAAAATTTTCCTTCCCAAGCAGAGTTTCACATTTGTCATAATAATCTGCAGCCAGCATCTTTCCATTTCGAAACTCACCAGCCCAGGTCTTGAACTTGTCAAAGTTGCCCTGTGCATGATTTCGGATATCTGAAATCAGCTTGTGATTGCGTGACTGAGCATCTTCAAGTGGTGTATACAGAAAGTTTCCCACATTGACCGACATCGGCACCATTGTCTTCAAAGTCAAACTTTCCTGTATGGCATGAAGATCTAGGATCTCCGGCTTGACAGAGTCCGACTTCACAGACGATCCAAAGCCAGGTGGTGGTTTTTTAGACACTGGTTGGTTACTGAACCCTGGTGGGGAGGTAGGTACTGGTGTCTTTGAAAAGCCAGGCGGAGCTTTCGATTTCTTGTTACCACCAAGTTGGGGAAACTCTTCTTCGTTCAATAGTACATTAGCTTTCTCTTTGTGAGACTTTTGAAGAGCACGTGACTTGGGCACACCGTTTTCCAGTCCAGGGAAATTTTCTGAATCCAATAAATCAAATTTATTGAAAGTAGAATGATTTTGGACAACTGCTGCACTGGCATTTTCCTTGGGATCGTATTTTTCGCTAACACTGACCACTGGGTATCCTTCAAATTCCTCATCACTAGCTTGCTTATTGTCCCTTGAATCTTTTACTGACACAGGTTTTTTGTTTTCCTTTAGTTTTTGCTGTTCAGTTGAATCTGGTATACTTTTCATTGAGATTAAGGAGTTTGCAATGATATCTAAAGTAGCATTTTCTCCCAACGATGACGAATTAGTGTTAGTAGATATTGATTCAACGACACCTTTCTGCTTCTTTTTCTTTTTCTTACTTTTACTTGCAGTGTCATTATGTGTAGTGTCTTTGTCACTCTTAAAATTATTCATACTGTATTCTTTTCCATCAATATCAAACCAATCAATTTTCTTATTTGGTTGTTGTTTTTTACTTTCCGTGCTCGATCTCCCCCATTCCATGTTCAATGGAGGTGTATTTCCTAGTGAGGGAAATTCTTTATCATCTACAAGTACTCTTTTAGAAGGATGAACATTATATTGTTTAGATTTACTAACTTTTGAGCCTAATGTCACATTAATATTATTTGTAATGTCTTTGTGTTGTTGGACAGGTGAGCGAGGTTTTGGAGGAGGCTGAATTCCCCATGATCCAGCTTTCGTTGTGTTATTTGACAAGTGATTTTTGGCAGTTGGTAATTCTGGGAAGTCATCTTTTTTCAATGATTGCACAGAACTAGGTCGATTCTTATTTGAGACAGTGGTAACAGCTTTACGAACTTCAGCACGTGGTTCTTGTTTGCTTTTCTTTGACACAAAAGGTTTAGGTGGCTCTGCAAGCCCTCCACTAGACTGCCCCAGAGTGGGAAAGTCCGCCATTCCGAGGCGACCATGCTGTACAGACATGTTATTAGCCTTGGCTAGTTTGTGAGCTATTGATTGATCCTTGATAATGTCTTCTGTTGGTGTGTGGGATCTACCAGTTGGCACCATGTTTCCTAACGTTGGAAAGTTGGATTCATCATGCACAATCTTAGGGCTCTCCTGTTCCATTTCCTCGACTGGACTTTTTGATTGTTTTGAAAGGTCTTCCTTCATTGTTTCCAGAGACACCTTGATGGCCTTTTCAACATCTTCATCCCTAAAATAACCAAAAAAAGCAGTGTGTAGTCTTTCTTATGCATGTTACCATCCTGTTTATATAAATTTACAGTCTAATACAGTCCCTCCCATTCATTTCATCTGTCCTTTCTTATCCTCATTATGAAAGCATTACTGTGATTGTCTTCTGGAAAGAAAAAAAAATCCAATGTTAGCAATGTAACTTGATCCTCCATTTGACCGTAAGTCTGATTATATCACCTTGGCTGGACATGTCTCCTACATATAATGATGTCTCTCCCATTGAGAGAAGCCCTGTCTACATCTCTGCTTACAGCAATTGATGTGCTGATAATTCTCTTTGTCCTACTTCCCAGTTATTATACAGTGCTGATATCACTCCCCATGCTGTTCTCTATGTGTTAAATACTAACCTGAAGCAGTCCCTGTAAGATGTTTGATATCCCTCCCCATGCTGTTCTCTATGTGTTAAATACTAACCTGAAGCAGTCCCTGTAAGATGTTTGATATCCCTCCCCATGCTGTTCTCTGTGTTAAATACTAACCTGTCAGTCCTGTAAGATGTTTGATATCCCTCCCCATGCTGTTCTCTGTGTTAAATACTAACCTGAAGCAGTCCCTGTAAGATGTTTGATATCCCTCCCCATGCTGTTCTCTATGTGTTAAATACTAACCTGAAGCAGTCCCTGTAAGATGTTTGATATCCCTCCCCATGCTGTTCTCTGTGTTAAATACTAACCTGAAGCAGTCCCTGTAAGATGTTTGATATCCCTCCCCTTTGTGTTCTCTGTGTTAAATACTAACCTGAAGCAGTCCCTGTAAGATGTTTGATATCCCTCCCCATGCTGTTCTCTGTGTTAAATACTAACCTGAAGCAGTCCCTGTAAGATGTTTGATATCCCTCCCCATGCTGTTCTCTGTGTTAAATACTAACCTGAAGCAGTCCCTGTAAGATGTTTGATATCCCTCCCCATGCTGTTCTCTAGTTGTTAAATACTAACCTGAAGCAGTCCCTGTAAGATGTTTGATATCCCTCCCCATGCTGTTCTCTGTGTTAAATACTAACCTGAAGCAGTCCCTGTAAGATGTTTGATATCCCTCCCCATGCTGTTCTCTATGTGTTAAATACTAACCTGAAGCAGTCCCTGTAAGATGTTTGATATCCCTCCCCATGCTGTTCTCTATGTGTTTTGAAATACTAACCTGAAGCAGTCCCTGTAAGATGTTTGATATCCCTCCCCATGCTGTTCTCTGTGTTAAATACTAACCTGAAGCAGTCCCTGTAAGATGTTTGATATCCCTCCCCATGCTGTTCTCTGTGTTAAATACTAACCTGAAGCAGTCCCTGTAAGATGTTTGATATCCCTCCCCATGCTGTTCTCTATGTGTTAAATACTAACCTGAAGCAGTCCCTGTAAGATGTTTGATATCCCTCCCCATGCTGTTCTCTGTGTTAAATACTAACCTGAAGCAGTCCCTGTAAGATGTTTGATATCCCTCCCCATGCTGTTCTCTGTGTTAAATACTAACCTGAAGCAGTCCCTGTAAGATGTTTGATATCCCTCCCCATGCTGTTCTCTATGTGTTAAATACTAACCTGAAGCAGTCCCTGTAAGATGTTTGATATCCCTCCCCATGCTGTTCTCTGTGTTAAATAAATACTAACCTGAAGCAGTCCCTGTAAGATGTTTGATATCCCTCCCCATGCTGTTCTCTGTTAAATACTGTTGTTTGAAATACTAACCTGAAGCAGTCCCTGTAAGATGTTTGATATCCCTCCCCATGCTGTTCTCTAGTTGTTAAATACTAACCTGAAGCAGTCCCTGTAAGATGTTTGATATCCCTCCCTATGCTGTTCTCTAGTTGTTAAATACTAACCTGAAGCAGTCCCTGTAAGATGTTTGATATCCCTCCCCATGCTGTTCTCTATGTGTTAAATACTAACCTGAAGCAGTCCCTGTAAGATGTTTGATATCCCTCCCCATGCTGTTCTCTGTGTTAAATACTCACCACAAGCAGACCCTGTTTTTGATATCCCTCCCCATGCTGTTCTCTGTGTTAAATACTAACCTGAAGCAGTCCCTGTAAGATGTTTGATATCCCTCCCCATGCTGTTCTCTGTGTTAAATACTAACCTGAAGCAGTCCCTGTAAGATGTTTGATATCCCTCCCCATGCTGTTCTCTATGTGTTAAATACTAACCTGAAGCAGTCCCTGTAAGATGTTTGATATCCCTCCCCATGCTGTTCTCTATGTGTTAAATACTAACCTGAAGCAGTCCCTGTAAGATGTTTGATATCCCTCCCCATGCTGTTCTCTGTGTTAAATACTAACCTGAAGCAGTCCCTGTAAGATGTTTGATATCCCTCCCCATGCTGTTCTCTATGTGTTAAATACTAACCTGAAGCAGTCCCTGTAAGATGTTTGATATCCCTCCCCATGCTGTTCTCTGTGTTAAATACTAACCTGAAGCAGTCCCTGTAAGATGTTTGATATCCCTCCCCATGCTGTTCTCTATGTGTTAAATACTAACCTGAAGCAGTCCCTGTAAGTGGTTTGATATCCCTCCCCATGCTGTTCTCTGTGTTAAGATGTAAGATGTGTTAAATACTAACCTGATATCCCTCCCCATGCTGTTCTCTGTGTTAAATACTAACCTGAAGCAGTCCCTGTAAGATGTTTGATATCCCTCCCCATGCTGTTCTCTGTGTTAAATACTAACCTGAAGCAGTCCCTGTAAGATGTTTGATATCCCTCCCCATGCTGTTCTCTATGTGTTAAATACTAACCTGAAGCAGTCCCTGTAAGATGTTTGATATCCCTCCCCATGCTGTTCTCTAGTTGTTAAATACTAACCTGAAGCAGTCCCTGTTGTTTGATATCCCTCCCCATGCTGTTCTCTGTGTTAAATACTAACCTGAAGCAGTCCCTGTAAGATGTTTGATATCCCTCCCCATGCTGTTCTCCAAGATGTTTGATATCCCTCCCCCTGCTGTTCTCTGTGTTAAATACTAACCTGAAGCAGTCCCTGTAAGATGTTTGATATCCCTCCCCATGCTGTTCTCTGTGTTAAATACTAACCTGAAGCAGTCCCTGTAAGATGTTTGATATCCCTCCCCATGCTGTTCTCTAGTTGTTAAATACTAACCTGAAGCAGTCCCTGTAAGATGTTTGATATCCCTCCCCATGCTGTTCTCTATGTGTTAAATACTAACCTGAAGCAGTCCCTGTAAGATGTTTGATATCCCTCCCCATGCTGTTCTCTGTGTTAAATACTAACCTGAAGCAGTCCCTGTAAGATGTTTGATATCCCTCCCCATGCTGTTCTCTGTGTTAAATACTAACCTGAAGCAGTCCCTGTAAGATGTTTGATATCCCTCCCCATGCTGTTCTCTGTGTTAAATACTAACCTGAAGCAGTCCCTGTAAGATGTTTGATATCCCTCCCCATGCTGTTCTCTGTGTTAAATACTAACCTGAAGCAGTCCCTGTAAGATGTTTGATATCCCTCCCCATGCTGTTCTCTAGTTGTTAAATACTAACCTGAAGCAGTCCCTGTAAGATGTTTGATATCCCTCCCCATGCTGTTCTCTGTGTGTTAAATACTAACCTGAAGCAGTCCCTGTAAGATGTTTGATATCCCTCCCCATGCTGTTCTCTGTGTTAAATACTAACCTGAAGCAGTCCCTGTAAGATGTTTGATATCCCTCCCCATGCTGTTCTCTGTGTTAAATACTAACCTGAAGCAGTCCCTGTAAGATGTTTGATATCCCTCCCCATGCTGTTCTCTGTGTTAAATACTAACCTGAAGCAGTCCCTGTAAGATGTTTGATATCCCTCCCCATGCTGTTCTCTATGTGTTAAATACTAACCTGAAGCAGTCCCTGTAAGATGTTTGATATCCCTCCCCATGCTGTTCTCTGTGTTAAATACTAACCTGAAGCAGTCCCTGTAAGATGTTTGATATCCCTCCCCATGCTGTTCTCTATGTGTTAAATACTAACCTGAAGCAGTCCCTGTAAGATGTTTGATATCCCTCCCCATGCTGTTCTCTGTGTTAAATACTAACCTGAAGCAGTCCCTGTAAGATGTTTGATATCCCTCCCCATGCTGTTCTCTGTGTTAAATACTAACCTGTCCCTGTAAGATGTTTGATATCCCTCCCCATGCTGTTCTCTGTGTTAAATACTAACCTGAAGCAGTCCCTGTAAGATGTTTGATATCCCTCCCCATGCTGTTCTCTGTGTTAAATACTAACCTGAAGCAGTCCCTGTAAGATGTTTGATATCCCTCCCCATGCTGTTCTCTATGTGTTAAATACTAACCTGAAGCAGTCCCTGTAAGATGTTTGATATCCCTCCCCATGCTGTTCTCTGTGTTAAATACTAACCTGAAGCAGTCCCTGTAAGATGTTTGATATCCCTCCCCATGCTGTTCTCTGTGTTAAATACTAACCTGAAGCAGTCCCTGTAAGATGTTTGATATCCCTCCCCATGCTGTTCTCTGTGTTAAATACTAACCTGAAGCAGTCCCTGTAAGATGTTTGATATCCCTCCCCATGCTGTTCTCTGTGTTAAATACTAACCTGAAGCAGTCCCTGTAAGATGTTTGATATCCCTCCCCATGCTGTTCTCTGTGTTAAATACTAACCTGAAGCAGTCCCTGTAAGATGTTTGATATCCCTCCCCATGCTGTTCTCTGTGTTAAATACTAACCTGAAGCAGTCCCTGTAAGATGTTTGATATCCCTCCCCATGCTGTTCTCTGTGTTAAATACTAACCTGAAGCAGTCCCTGTAAGATGTTTGATATCCCTCCCCATGCTGTTCTCTGTGTTAAATACTAACCTGAAGCAGTCCCTGTAAGATGTTTGATATCCCTCCCCATGCTGTTCCTCCCCCTCCCCATGCTGTTCTCTGTGTTAAATACTAACCTGAAGCAGTCCCTGTAAGATGTTTGATATCCCTCCCCATGCTGTTCTCTGTGTTAAATACTAACCTGAAGCAGTCCCTGTAAGATGTT